CATTCCCCTGAACTAGCAGAATATAATGGTTTTCCAGTAGCATGTTAACAGTCAGGCAAATTCTAAGTCCATACCCCTCAGCTTCCTCTTGCTGCACGTAAGTTTTCATCTGGTTTTCCATTTTGTTTTAATGTGGATATAAGGAGATTGCACATCATAGCCAGTATCTCCACAGTCAAGTCTCTCAGCAAGCAAAATGCAAACAGCTTTTTAAAAAAAAAAAAAAAGAAAGAAGACTACAGGATGCCACAGCTATGTGATACAAGACCTTTTTTGGTTGTCAGAGTTGAACAAGCAACTTCTGAAACATTCCCAGCTCAGCTAGTACAGAAAGCTGAGAGATTTTTAAGAGTTGTACTTTGGCTTCAGTAGGCTGATGATTGTGGTGTGCCTGCAGCAGAGCATAACCTCCAGAGCACAGAAGCTACATCCCACTGTTGCCTGTGCAACTAAAGCTCAGTATTACATTGAGTTTCAGCTAAGATATAAAGACAGGTAGAATTAAAACTGAAGTGTCAATAAAGGCGAAGACGTACCTCCCATCTAAAAACTCAGAAGACAGGAAGTTGCTCAGATAACTTTTACAGTAAGAAATAGAAATCTGACCCATGGAAATACTATTCAGCTTATCACTATGTCCTGTAAAAAAAAAAAAAAACAAACTGATGACCAGATGCATTATCATTTCATTGCACTATGGAATCCCATAGCTGACATTCACCTATTGTTTGCTTTCAACTGCTTTTCATAGCTACTATGGAAAACTCCATGGGTAAGCTGCAGCATCTCATACACTACACTTGATGTATAATTTACAGTCTACAACAGAAGAGCTTTTACGTAACCTACCCTGGATTACCTACAGGAGTCATAACTTGAGGTAACCAAGTTTGCATTCAGCCCCCCTTCCAAGTAGTAGCTAGCACAGCATGTTCTTGCACAGCTTGCCTTTTAAACTCACAGCTTAACTTCAGAAGCTTTGTCTTGCTTAGGAGACAGCACCCAGCCTCCTTCTCCCTCAGCAGCTCACACACTGTACACAGCAATAACACCAGCACTGCACTGAGAGTAGAGTAAGAAAGGCAGTGACACATCAGCAAGATGTGTTCATGAACTGTAACTGACAACTGATTGCCCTGTCCTTTCTGGAAAGGAAATAGAAGGTAAAGAACTGATACAGCACATACTAGGCATGTGGTATACAGTTCCCCCATGCTTGTGGTTTACTAGCAAAGCATTTTCAGCTAACGTAAATATCATTGTAGTTAAAGGAAGAAGGATTTAGAAACTGTTAAAAAAAAAAAAAAAAAAAAAAGATGCTACCAAATGAAAGAAGGCAGGCCTCCAAATCCTCAACAAATACACAGCTCAAAACAGCTCAATCATCCTTCCATACTTCAAAAGTTACTTATTTGAACAACAGAATCCATGGCAATAATTCCACGCAAAATTGTGTAGACTACACCAGCCTGCATTGTTCAGTAGACCAGAGGTTAACAAGCATCTTGTTTAAAACTGACTCAAACTGAAACAAGGACTCAGAGGGTGACACATCGTCCCCAAGATTCAGCTTTCATAATCAACTATGTGACTCTTACTACCTTTGGCATTAACTTTACCAGATGTAAGAGGCCTAACAGGAAGAGGTGTCACATTATTGCCACAAAGTTACCTGAGCTGTACAAAGAGGTGACAAAAGACTCATCACTCCAATGTTACTTACAAAAGTCTCAACAGTAACACAGTTGTACAGGAAGAGACATTTTAAATTACAATAGCAAACAGCAGCAGTAACCGCTCCTGCTAACTTCTAACTACTTCAATATCATTAAAGCAGTAACCCTAACTACTACTTCACTAAATTTATGAGATGTGCTTATGGCAACAGTAGGAGGCACACTTGACTCAGAATAACTAGAGCCAAGATGAACCTACACAATGAGAATAAAAGTATTCGAAGGTTACCACTGAACAATGTCCTTGCAGTAAGTGAAGCTGAGCAGTGGCTCTAAGCAGTTGCTGCTGAGCTCTTCCTAGCTCCCCCGTGCTCCCAGAAGGGCAGGTATTTCACATTTAAATACCTGCATCCAATATTTAAACTAGGTTCAGTTACAGTTCGTAGCCTGTTTGTAGGAGCCAAGTTAAGCTAGGATTGTCTATCAGCCATGCCCTCCTCAGGCTTTTGTTAGCTATCCATCAATAACCTCGAAATACTCAAGTCCTTCTAATCACACCTTTCCATCATCTTCAGATTAAGAAAACTTAAGAAGTCTGGGCCAGGACCTCTTCTGTTGGAGGTTCTCACAGCAGTAAGTTATCCACAGAACATCATGACTTTCTCCTATTTCCACCACAATTCAGCACATCAAGCGTAAGGAATTACAATGCTGTAGGAAAGCCTTCCTAAGGATACTGAACACCACATTCCAAGGAATCATCAGCACCATGGGAACCCGAGCTGTATTGGATAAAACAGCAACTACACTCCTCTTGAGAAGAAACGGATATTCCCAGTCACCCTTTTGTCTCTACAGAGGACATAAAAATTAGACAGCCTCTGGCAGAGTGACTTTACAATGATGGACAATGCAACTTACACATTCCTCCACACTGTCTTTGATTCACACAATTCCTGCTACGACATTTGCTCCAACATTTAAACGTTAATTCAGCTGAACTGAAAGCAGCCAGCATATTCCTTTCTTCCAAGCAGAGCTTTAAGAAACTGAAGCAGTGAAAGCATGCTAGAAAAGTCCAAGAGAAAGTAATTCCAAAGAGTTATGATACATCTTCATCAGCTCTGGACAAGCGCAGAGATGAACAACTGAACCTGCACGGTCTCATTCTGGCAGCACTACAGTGGAACTACAGAAGACTCTGGAGAGGTGGGACACCTTGGATGTCTACGATATGTCAAGGGAATTAAAAACAAGCACAAGTTAGTTCAGGTTGCTATAATATAGCATGGAAGAAATTGACTCACATTTCCATAAAATAAGGGTGCTTTGAAGACTAGTAAATCTTCAAGACACATCAAACAAGAAAACCAAGATGACATTTTAATTTTGACCATTTCATGAATTCAGACATTGACAGAAAACACGCATAAAGAATTTCATTGTCCTGTCAACATTTATGTTTTCCTAGATAAAGAGGAGTGTGTAGCCATCATAGCAATAGCTCCCAAGTTCCTCCTTTTATTTCTAGACGCAATAAAACAAGACCTTATCTCAATATCCCTAACCATACAGAGTAGCTCCTTCAAGAAATACTTCTAAAAGCTACAAAAATTATGTTTATGCTTTAAAAGCATCATTTTGCATGCAGCCTCCTTATGAGAGGAAAGCTACAGCCTTTCAAATAATTTCACTTGTAAGGTACTCCTTCAGTATATGCAGCCCTCAAGGAGAACATCCAACACTTTCCCCCAACCAATATTTGCAGTCTGTCATTTTAGAAACTACTCATGAAATTCTTCAAACAGCTGAAAGCTCAGCAACATACTCTTCATAAATGAGCTTTTTTATTACATTGCTTCAAAGGTGCTTCTTTGGACCATTTGTTCACACAGTATGGAAGATGACTTAGACAGTTCAACAGAGGTGGTATTATTGGAAAGTGACTGATGCCAAACTGACATTAGTTTCTGATCAGTAAGTACATTGTAAAGATTAAAACAGATTTTAGAAGTTAACTTAAAGGAACTCCAAAATTACAAAGATTAAAATTCCAAATAGAAAGTCATATCCTTTCAGAGGATTAATCTCAGGTCAGACTGCGTATGAAAAGCTCAAGCAGGGCCCAACGCTAGTTAAAATTCACGCTCAGAAGACAGCCACAGGAAGAACAGCATGTAGGAAGGGTGCCTGCTTAAAGGTCTCAGAAAACTGGAAGCTTACTTTCCACAGCCACAGCCACTTCCAAAGCATAGAGCAAGGGCAATAACATAATCTATAAAGGTACTGTTGAAGGATGAGATACAAAAAATTGCTTTGGAGGAGAACAAAGTCTCCCTATAGTACTGCAGGGAGCTATCTGCTCTGATCCTCCTCCAAAGCTCCTGGGATTTTGACCCAATGCTCTTTTGTCTGCCCTAAATTGCATCAGAACACACAGAATAATGAAGCCATAGTACATGAATCCCTCTGCAGACTGTACTGAAACAACACTAAAAAGTAAGCACTATCTTTTTAATTTAACACTGAGGCTTTGAAAGCCAAATACTACATCAGACACTTGCTCCTGGTACCCCAGCTCTTCCCACTTCTTGTAAGGCTGTTGCACAGCAACCTGTCTCTCAGTTACACAAGCTCTGACTCGCATAAACTAAGGGCGTTTCTGCTATCATTAGATCGGGATTGGGAGAACTGTGGCCCTATTCTCATTTTAGTTTTATCCACCAGTCATCTGCAAAGGTTCAGCATGAGGCTTTTCAAAGCTTCATAAAGGATGTGATTAATTTCATCCTTGTACCTGTATCAAGCAAGAATCCTAGCTCTCAGAATGAAAAACAGCTTCACAAAACTCAGCATGCTGCTTTAAATGACTTAAGGTATATTCTAAGCCTACAACAACCCAGTGCCACAAACACACAAAGCATCTGTGAAAACTGCATTTTAATATTGTTCTAAGACAAGCACCTAAAAACAAATTTTGAAAAGCTGCTGTCATCAATTTATGACAGAGTTTTTCCCTCGGCCTGTCTAAACTGCATTTCAAGTGCTTCTACAAACCACCAGGTTACCTTCCGATGGTGATAAAATGCAAGATGTCACGAGAAACAGAACTGTAGTAGATTCTCTTAAGATAAAAAGAAAAAATAAAAATTCAGACTCCAAGGAACGGCTGCACTTTCCTCCAAAGGGGACGACCCAAGTAAGATCTGCAGTTCCCTGTCTACGTAGACCTTGAATGGATGGGTTTTAGCACCCTCAAGCATGCAGCCAAGCACCTAGGAGCCTGGCTGTGCTCTGCTAATTCACCATCTCTATTTGCTTTACCTGCAGCTCACACCAGGCGACTTCCACAGTGGTATCAGTATCCAGTCCTTTATATACAGTTTTGAAAGAGCCTCTTCCAATCTCGATGTCAAACTTCAGGAAGCGGCCGTCAGGGGAGATGCCCACCGCCTTGGTCTCCAGCTCCTCTATGTCCTCCTGCTGTGCCCTCCGCTCCTCGAACTCCCGGCTGGCAGCCGACGTGCTGCCAGCGGCGCTTGTGGGGGGCAGAGCGGCGGCCTCATCCTCCTCCTCTTTGGGCAGTAGCGGGGTGGCATCCTTGGTGGCAGGGGGCTCCTGGCCAGAGCGCCCTTCCAGTGGGAGCGGGACTGGCGGCGGAGGCTGCTGCAGCAGCGAGGGGGCCTGCGAGGCTCCAACGGCGATGCAAGTGGTGCGGACGCACTCGGGAGGAGAGACCAAGGGAGCGGCGCTGCCTCCCGACACGGGAGCCGAGGGTGCGGCGGGCTGCAGGCTGGGCAGCTCCAAGGCCGTGGCGTTGGAGTCGCAGATCACGCTCCGGCGGAAGAAGCGGTGCTCGGTGGCTGCCGCCCCTCGGCTGTCCTTGTCCATGGTGTGGCGGCGGCGGCGGTACTCCTCGCTACGGCCTCCGCTCCCCGCTCCGCCGCTCGCTCCGCCGGTCCCAGAGGCCGCGTGCTCGGCGGCTCCCAGCTTCTCCCCGACGGAGCTGTCCGAGCTGGAACCGTTCTTAGGGGGCGGCGGCGGGGGAGCCAGGAAACGGGGTGCCGGGGGTCCGCCGTCCGCTGCTCCCCCCGACATCGCTGCCCGGGGAAGCGCTGCTGGGGCGAGGCGGGGCGGGGGGAGGCGAGGGGAGAGGCCGCTCACTGCGCGGGGAGCGCTCCCGGCCGCGGCCGCAGCTGCGAGACGGGAGGGTCCCAAGGGCTCCCGGCGGCGGAGCTGGGAGGCGGCTGCTGGGGAGGCTGGGCCAGCGGGGCGGCTCCCCGCTCAGCGTCTGCATCCATCCTGCAGCGGGGCAACGGGCAGCGGGGCCGACATGGAGCTCTGCGACAGAGCCGGGGCGCGGGGCCGGGCGGGGGGAAAGGAGGGAAGGGCAGGCGAGAGAAGGCCGGGGCAGGCCCGGGAACCCCCGGAGCGAAGGCGCGCGGGGAGGGGAAGGGGAGGCGAAGCGGGGGCAGGCCGCGGAGGCGGTAGCCGCCGCGCTCAGTCGCTCGCAGCGGGCGGGCCCGGAGCCTTCAACCCGCCGCGAGGGCAGGGAAAGGGGCCGCGGGGCTCAGCCCCGCCTCGCAGGGGCGCCCATGGCGGCAGCGGCCTCCCCCTCCCGCCAGGCAGCCACCGCCCGCGCGAGGCCGGGCCGCGTTCTCTCAGCAGTAGAAGCGGCCGCCGCCGCCTCGCGGGAAGCCGGAAACCCTCCTCCTCCTCCTCCTGCTGCTGTTGCCGCTGCCTCCGCCGCTGCTGCCGCCCCCCGCCGCCTCGCCTCGCCTCGCCTCTCCTCACCGGGGGCCGCTCGCCGCCTCACACAGGGGAGCGGGAGCGGAGGCCGCGCGAGTCCGACTGGCGCCCCGCGCCGCGGCGGGGAGGAGGGAGCGGAGGCGCTGCGGCCACCGCGGGGCCGTCTCTGCGCTAAATGGCGACGGACGCCCGAAACCGACACACAGCAGGGAGGGGGAGGGGAGCCGCCGGGCACGCCTCCTTCCGCGCACGCGCGCCCGCCCTCGAGCCCTTCCCTGGCCGTCGTTTACTCGGGGAGCCGCGGCTCCCGTCGTGCCCCGCGCCGCGCGCGGAGCCTCATGGGAGTTGTAGTTCTCGAGGGACGAGCGGCCTCTGCCGTGCGAGGGCCGCCTCCCGTCTCTCGCTCCTTCGCGCGGAGGTGCTTGCGGTGCGCTCCGCTGACCGCCGCTGCCGAGGCGCAGTGTGGGAAGTGCAGGCCCCGGTGCTATGGCGCAGCGGCACGCAGCCGTATTTCGATACGTATTCGTATTTAGATACGAATAAACCTTACCCTAATCTGCGCTCCCGATTGTTTGGAAGAAACAGCGTTGTCAGACTTTGCCCTGACAATGATCGTTACCCTCTCGCCATCTGACTTTGGCAGCGTCGCGGCGTTAAGGGATGTGCGGCAGAGCCCACGTGAGCGCTGAAACAAATCGGGAACTTTTCAGGTTGAAGAGGCGGTGGCACACACCAGTCATCTGGTTATTTATATCGTGTTCCTCTTTCATCGCAACGTACTGAACCCAAGCACTTTCCATCTTACGTGAGCAGTCAGAAGTCACTGGGAATGTACCGCAGGAAGCGTGAATTAATTGCTACCCTGCCTTTTAACCAACTGTAATTCAGAATTCATGTCAGTGATATATTCGCAGGAGGCATTCCGGCCCTTCACATGCTTTTTAAAAGTTATTTTAAAACGATTTAGAGGAAGTTGTGCGTTGCGTTGCTGATGCGAGGCCTTACAGACCTCAGCAGCCCCCAACCGCAAGAGACCAAGCCAAGCAGTTCTCATGTGCTTGCACTCCTCATCTACACAATTCGACACTTCATATTAACTGGAATTGTGTTGTCTTCTGTATATCAGCTTCTCTTTGTAACAGCAAACAACATAATGATGCAGTCTTCACAAAAGGAACAAAATGTAGTTTGCTGTACAACTCTCCAGCAAAGACTTCTGCATTGCTTAATCCTTCTCGGTCCTACCTTTATGGCAAAAGTTGTTTTGAGTTAGTTAACATATTCTTTTTGGTCCGCTCGAAATGCACTGACACAACTGAGTAATTACTTTTCAAAGCAATGCTGAGTTAAATGGCATAATTTGATTAGCAGTGAAGACTGACCTGATTAAAATTGATAAACTTATAACTCAATCTGTTCCATCCTTACTGCACCACCAGTGCCAGAAGTTGACCATCAACTTTTTTAACACCAAGAAGGATTTGAGTTCACTAACCTCTTGACTACAGGTATTTGTGCATCTCTTCGTAATGGAATGAAGATTCATTTGCAGCATCAGCAGGCACATCCATGAAAACTGAATGCTATTAAGAGCAGTAGGGCACTGTAGAAGAGCTCAGCAAGGACTTTTAACCAAGGCCCTGTTACCTAGCGTGGCCTGTGCCACCCTATCTTCACTGCTGCTCTTACCTCCTGGAGCTACATTCAAGCAAAAGTCTGCTTTCCTCCATTGCCTGCTGTGTTTTTACAAGCTCTTTAGGTGGGATAAGCAACAAACTCAGGAGTAGACAGCAGACCTTGCTCCAGCCTGATGTTTGTTGCAACTTAATGAGCACGTACCTAAAATAACACAGTGACAAATCACTCCTTGTGGTGTAAGCCTACAGCCTTCTTGGTGAATTCCACTTGCAGCATCAGACATCATCAGCCGCAGGCTTGCACCCAGCCCTCTACCTACCAAATGATCCGCTGCAAAAGTGCTGAGGCTGCAACTGGGAACCACCTCCCACTGGTCTACATGTGTTGTTTCAATGCAACATTGCGTGTAGACTCTCTTGCACAAGTTTGTTTCACCAACTATCCTTAAACATATTGTCCCTTACTTAACTAAGCAAAATCTTTATAGAAGAGACCTGAAGCCCCGCAGTGCAGAGCCACAGAGAGCCTGAGGCGGTCTCCTACTAGAAAACTGCGGTAATTATGTAGAGAAGCACCTCCCAGGTGTCTGATCCAGCACATTCCTTGGTACTCCTGAAACTCAGCCTTGCGTAAGTCTTGAGTATGAGGGCCCTAATGCCCAGTTCTTCTCACTGGCACCTCTACTGGGAAGAGATGGGTATAGCAGTCATCTCTGAAAAAGAAATAATTGAAAAGGCTGAGCAGCTGACCAGGAGGTGGGAATGATGGATTTTGCCTTCTATGGCTCACAAAAATAAAATAAAATAAAATAAAATAAAATAAAATAAAATAAAATAAAATAAAATAAAATAAAATAAAATAAAATAA